CCTGCATCTCGAATTTTGTTGCACAGGCTGGAATGAAAGTTGGCGCCAGTGGTCTCAGGACGAAGGCCCCTCATGTCCTAAAAGGTCGCTCAGTGACGCAAACCGTGTTTCGGGAGGCTTCAAAACGGAGCCGCCGCACAAGCATGAGGAAGGCGAGGTGCCCAGTGGGAAAATTCACGCCATGCAGTTGGTGAGCGTCGGCGTCGCCTTTGGTGATTCGCCGTGTCGTAGGTGTCGTACCCAGCGTAGCTGTGAATCGTGCATGTTGTGCGAGGTTTGGACCAGCAGCTGCAACGCAAAGCCGCAGGAGCGCAGTGCAGCAGCCGGCAGTAGCCTTGCGATGCGGCTCTGACGTATGCACTGTGATCGCGTGATTGCAGGCCGGCTCTTCGCACGGGCATTGCATTCGACTACCCATCCGCAGCGCCGAGCCGAGCCAAAGCCCTCCCATACAACAGTGGCCCCGGCCCCGAAAGAGACTTGGGCGGCCTGCCCAAAGGAGAGCGACATCCATTCCAAGATGTGTAGCTTGGGACGCGTGGACCCCTTCGAGGTGGGGTACGCTTGCACGAGTATCCCCGACCACCAGCCAGACGGCAGGGCTCCGAACCAGCCCCTGAGCCGCGTGTGGCAGTCAGCCAAAGTGTTGGACCACGCCATCGATAAGGTGGTCTACATCGGGTACGAGCAACCGATCGAGGTCTTCCGAGCAAAGCTCGCGAACGGCCGCGAACAGCTTCTTACCATGGAAGGGTGGAAGCTGTGGATCCTGCAGCGGTCCGCCCTCGCCCGGCACCCCAAAAACGCACTCATCGCGCCGAAGATCCTCATGGACGAGGATGACATCAACGAGAAGATCAAGAGCGCCGACATCCCGGACGACGTGGATGCCACGTACCTGAAGTCCGAGGATGGCACGTGCACCTATTTTTCCTGGAGGGACGTGGTGGCCCGCAAGTCCAAGTCGCAGGCGAAGTGAATGCCGACAGATGCCCACAGCTTTCAACGACAGATGCCGACAGATTTCAAGTGCGCAAAAAGGTCGGAATGCCAGCCTCCGAGGGTTTGGGCAATGCGTTCAAAGGTATCCCGAGCTACGTGGTGCCAGGGCTATAAGGGACTGGAAGGTTCCAGCATGTTTCTGCATGCCCG